GGAGGTGGTGTAATGGTGTGGGGAATGATTTCTTGGCACACTTTGGGCCCATTTTTACCCATCAATCATGGCTTGAATGCCACAGCTTATTTGAGTATTGTTGCTGACCTTGTGCATCCCTTCATGGCCACAATATACCATCTTCTAATGGCAATGTCCAGTATGATAATGCACCATGTCAGAAAGCAAAAGTCATCTCAAACTGGATTCAGGAACATGACAATAAGTTCAATGTTTTCAACATGTTGTGGAATCCATGCAATTCTTAATAAAGTGCTCAGTGAGTGTAGTTATAAAATCATACTTGTTGTTTGTCTTTATAGAGAAGTGTGGATTGTTTTCACAGCAGGGGGTTCTCACTCCTCCCCTTTTACCTCTCATTGCTCAATAGCAGCTCAACATAGAGTCACAAGATATCATGTACAGAGAGCCAACAGCATCCTGGTTAAACACACAGAGTTACAGAAAAAATACTTTATTTTATTTTATTGATGAAACAAGTCAACTTCCAGAAAGATCAATCCATTGAAAGGTTTGTGAAGGAACCAAAGATGGGTCTTCTGTGAAGAACCACTTCAGCACCTTTATTTGTACACTAGAAAACAACCAGTCTTCAAGACAACAATGAATTGTGGCTAATGATGGTGATTAGAAGACAGAAAGCAAATGGAAGACAGGAATTAAATGCTTTGGAAAAAAGCGCATGGCACATGGACAGAAACACACACACACACTCAGCATGCTTTGGCACACATGGCTCAACGTGTCATAGCCCCCCCCCAACACTTTGGCTGGCAGACTTGTACTGATACAGCATCAAACACCAGCGCACATTAGAGAATTACATGTAATCCTGATCATCTGAAACAGAGAAACGCACCGGGGAGCCATATGGACACAGGCCAGCCACTCATATCACTCACAGTCATGTCACACGCTCATACTGCCATCCTAAATATAGAACACACACTATAAAAACGTGCATGTGGACACGCATGCAAGGACACGTGCTGAGAAAGAGTACACTGTGTGAACACATACACACAGTACATCCAATAGTGCTAATTGAAAGCGGAGCCATTTACATAACTGGAGGGTTAAAAGGCAAAGCTGGTGCGTTCCACAGCACTGTGACCACCACTATGTCTCTCTCTCTCACACACACACACACACACACACACTCGTTCCCTCATACATAATAGACCTCTCATAAGAGTCAGGTTAAAAATACTCTGTAAAAGCTCGGCTATGACACCTTCTGCGCTAAAGAGGGCCTCATTCTTCCCAAATGGCACTTTGTGCTCCTGACAGTCACAACTGCTGTAATGGAGAGTGACTGTTATCTTTGTTTCTCATCATTCTAATCTCTGTTTCTGTATTTCTCACACTCAATCTGTCTAAACTGCCGTGTTTAGCGCCTGTTTCATGTCTGCTATCTATCATCGGCTGCTGTGTTAAATGATGCTGTTTGAGGGTGAACTTTAGAGCACATGTGTAACATAAATCTCTCTCTTGGGATATACAGTGATACTTTCTTTCTCTTTCTCTCCAACACACACATACACACACACACACACACACACACTCTTTGATGCTATAGCAATGCTGAACTCTGCATTATTGCAGCTATTTTTTTACATTGTCTAATGTTATAGGTGCAACTTTACTTTTGCAGCTAAATACTAGCAAAACCCATTAGCTAATTTTTAGCTAGTAGCTAACTCTCACATTCTCTGTTGTTGTAGCTGTACCAACCGTTTTTGTAGCTAAAAACTTGCTAAAGCCATTGGTTGTAGCCAATTTTCTCTCATACTGTCTAATGTTATAGCTACAACTTCGTATTTTTGTAGCTAAATACTAGCATAAGTATAAATATGCCGTGTCGTCTGTTGTTCTTAATCTGAGGCAATACATCTGCACATCAGCCACGTTGAACCGGTTAAGATCGGTCTGTAAACAAATGCATGTGTATTGAAATATTAGCTTTCATGATTAAATCAGTGATGACTTCCTTACTGCTCAACTGATTTTCACCTAATTTGTTATTATTTTCAGACATGTAGCTGATTTAAATCATTTATTTATGATTTACATGGCGCTGTATTAGTAATGTGCCTCAGTTTCCAGCTAAATTTAAATAAGGAAGCTGATGCAGCCATAAGGAGTGTCTGAGTGAATTAATATTTAGAATTCCAATTATCCGTTGCTACCAGGCAGTGATGGGATCTCTCTTGAGCAGAGACAGAGCAGATCAAACATATTACAATCAACAAGTCTATGAACATTAATGTTAAACTAGCTGTCAAAAAATGCAAACCAGATGTGAACACAACTATATTTACATTCGAATGTTAGAGCTCAGTCAGAGTATCATAGTAAACTATTATAAAGTGTAAAGCAGATTTCTTTATTTTGACAATTTGCTTACACCTGTGTACATATGGAGTATCTAATAGGTTTCTAGGTATTTGATCTGTGCCTGACGTTAAAAACTGACACGAGTCAACTACTTCACATCACGTAAAGATACCCTTTATGGGTTTTTAGATGAAATAAGCTTTAAACAGCTAAATAGCTAAATACTACCTAAACCCATTCTAAGCTAATTTTCTCTCACCTTCCCTAATGCTATAGTTAGCCAGACAGCTAATGTTAACTATCGTTACTGATGTAAAAAGGTCAAACTAAACTTAAGTGCAATAAACTTGAAGTTAAGAATACTGTGACTGCGCTTTGTGCTGTTTATCAGAGCATCGCTGCTCTCCAGTTTCAGTTTCAGCTTCCCAAAAGCTTTAGCCGACCACACTAATGTTATTCCTCCTAATAACAGACACACATTCAGCTGTGCCTCCTCACTATTCACCACCATCACTCTAATATTTTGTCTAATGAGTTTTCATCAACGTTAACACATGAAAGTAATGAGAGGGGATGGTGGAAATTGTGTCTGCAGCGTGTGGGATTTTTAAAACGCTGTTAGAAAAAAAAAAGCTTATAAGTCAAAGCACTGTTTCAGTGTAGATAAATGTAACGTTGTTATGCCAGTTATAATGAACTGCCTGTCACTGCATAAAACAATAGAAATAGACGGTTAAAACAGAGGTTTAGACACCTATTTGGTTGTCTTAGTTAGGACAGTTTTTAGGAAATTCTGTCTAGTTAGGATGTTTCTGTAAATCTGGAGTCAGGATAAGATTATGAACTTAAGAACTTATTCTGTAATAGCTTCTGTCCTAAATTCAGTCCTAACTGAAGTCGTCATGGTGACTAAACAGATAAGATTTCAGAGTTAAGACATTTCTGTAATACGGCCCCAGGATCATATCTTTGAATGGGGAAAGACCCATAAACTAAAAGCCACATTCATGTTTCAAATCATATTTTAAATCACTATTTGAAATCACTGGTAAAATCTATAAAAAACCCACATGAATAATTTGCTCTGGCTGCTGTGTGTGCACAATATATCTCCACAATGACAAATGTTTTTTCCTGCTTGCGGCTTTATCTGCAAGCCAATTGGCTCTTTTTCTTGAAGAACAGGATTTTCCTTGGAAACAGATGCATGCTGTGTGTTATGAGCGTTCCCATTCACTTTGCAACCAGTGAACTGTCTCTTCCTCCTTTATTATGCCTGTGGCTGAACTGTGGCTATTGTTGTTGCTAAATTATACCTGAAGCCATTAACTATTGCAAAGTTCTTGATTTTCATATCTTTCTGTAGCTAAGTGGTGCGCTACACCTGACCCACCCCTGACTGTAGTCTCAGGAACCAAAACGAAACCTTTTGTTCTTTTATTTCTTCAAACTAAACCTGCTTTTTTGTTTGTTCCACATGGGGAGCAACCGTACACACTACTCAAACCACACTGCACTAATTCCCACCAACAAATCAAAGTAAACCTCATGTCATGTTACTTTAAAGACTTGTTTATTACAATCTTTAATGGCATTGGAAGTAAATAGGAAAATTAGAATACAAACATTTATGAATATTACCCACATCTTTATCATGTAAACAGAAACTCCTTATGCCAGTTCAACTGTTTTTCAGAGGTACTTCACAGAGTTTTTTTAAGCACCAGTGGCTATTTTGACATCGGGTCTGCTGTTGACTCTGTGTTAATTACAAGGCTACCTGCTTTGAAACATAATGTCAGTGTTATTTGTACTTTATTAAGCTCACAAAGGCCCAGGCATGTGCTTGATCCACATATGGAGTATGTAATTTTCTGATGCATGCCCAAGAAAATCTCTTTTTAGTCATGTAAAGCATATGAGGCTTTGAACGCCCATGAGGCATACAACTTTCCAAAGCTGTGGAACAGAGGAAAACAGCAATGGAGATAACAGAAGGAAAAAGGGAATGTAAACCCAGCTTAGCCCAGTGTTCTTCAAAGCAGACTGTAGTCGATACAGACAATTAAAATTTTTGGGTTTTTTGATTTTCCAATTTGAATTTCCAATTTCGGTAGACCATTCAAAACATATAAGTGAAAGGCCTATAAGAGAAGGCCTGTTCCAGTGCCCCTATGCACAAAGCAGCATCCATGGTTTGACATGTGGAGGAACTCCAGTGGTCTGCACAAAGCCCTGACTTTAACCCCACTGTACACCTTTGGACTGAATTGAAATATTGATTGCAAACCAGGCCTTCTCGTCCAACATCAGTGCCTGACATGTCAACTGCTCTTTTGATTGACACACCAGCTCATTTATGACAGTTAGGTGTCCACATACCTTTCACCATACACTGTGTACGTGTATGTGTATGTACACACACACACACACACAGAGTCATATACAAAAGACTGAGCACCCATGTTCTGAGTGAAAATAAGTTAACATCCTGTACAGAGAACACACTTCTGCACATTTCAACATTTTTTGAATTTGACATTTTGTGGCCTGTGCAAAAGTTATGGCACAGTTTATATTTTATGTTTTATATATATATATATATATATATATATATATATATATGTATATAATCAAATTACATGTTTTCTTGATTTTCTAAGTGTGTGTGTAGCACTAAATCTCTGTAACTGGTAAAAAAAATATAACATTATAGAAATATAAAACAGCTTTCCCTGTATAAAAACACAATTTTACTGAATGAGGCTTTGAAATTCCAAGTTCTCACTATTACAGTAACTACAGCCTACTGTTAGAATTTCTCTTTGTTCTTGACAAATGAAGTGAAAACAAACTGAATCTTTGTCAGAATCTCAAGACAGTTACTCTCAACAATAACACTCTCAGTAAAGATCTCTCCACTTGCACAGATAAATTAATGCAGCCATCAAAATCAGTATTTTTAGTAACATATTCTTGCCTATTAACTTTGACAACTGACCTTCCTGCTTTAAGACTGACCCTAGAAGTACAGTGAGACTCAATTAAATTGTAGTTAAGTTTTCAGACTTGGCTGAGTTTGGCCAGCTACAAAACATTCAACGCAGCCTCTCTGGGTGTTGTTGTGGAGTCAAAGGTCAACTGCATGCCATCACTGGAGTTTTTCTGGGCCTCGGGTGATCGCTCCACTGGACGACACAGTACACGCAGACGCTGTGAAATTAGGAAAAGAGGCACAGCTCGTTAGTCTGATCTAGATGTGAGGATGATGTTGAATCAGGGTTGTCAAAGTCAGATCTTGGTACTGCAGAGTTTAGTGGTTAGAGATAATCAGACTGACAACTTTCTTCCTACCCCAAATGAAGTTGGCTAAGACATGTTTGGTGTATGAAGTTTGGTTCTTTAGTTTTGCACTTGAGCTACGAGGGTAATGTAGCTAACAAGTAAAAGAAGCGTATACCCACCAATTAACATTGTGCCCAACAATGCATGTGAAACAAAATCACACACTTGCCACATATCAAGTCTCAAACCTATGTGTTTTTTGTCATTTTATGACATACTGTTAATTATAAAAAATACAAAAGTACACTGCATAGCTAAATCCAGTAGTAGCAGCAATCTTGAAGCTTACATTTATCAGAACTAATTTCTACTGTCAGAATGTTGACATGAAATTGAGCTTAATATTCAGTACAGTTTGAATGTGTGCAAATTGAACTTCAGTGTTTTTCACTTTTTTGTAGCCCAATTTTCTCACCAATTTTGAAACCACTAGCTTTAGAAGCCACTGACTAGTTCCAACCACTATCTAGGTCTTTCTCTATTACATGATGCTACCAACCTAAAAGAGGTAGAAAACAACATTATTGTACAGTTCAATGTACCTGGAGGAGAACCAACTATCTCCATTTCAGACTTTTTAGAGAAACTGTAGAGTTGTTTGAGGTATTACCAACCTGGATGAAGGTTCCATGAGTGTTGATCAAGGCATAAATGGTCCACAGTGGCAGGAGAGACACGGATGACAACGCCAGCAGCCAGCCCAGAGCTGTAGCCCAAGCTGGAGCCACCACACCCTTCCCCAGCTTTAAAGGTGACCAACTCACCAACGAGAACACAAATGTCCCCTGAGGAACCAGAAACGAAAACAACCATTCATGAGTTACAGGATCTCCGTCAAAAGATCTGAGACAACCTGGAGATGATGCAGAGAATCAATTGCACCTACTGTGCACACAGCTGGGGTGAGGTAGCGCCAGCACAGCTTGAAGGTGGAAGGTGGCGGGTAACCGATCATGCTTTTGATGTTGTTGCTAAACCGGTCTGGCCCTGGAAAAAAGGAAAGTCTGTGAAAAGCAGTAACCAGGGCGGATTTCTAAAAAAAAGGCAACCATTGACTGTAATGACATTTGATAACATAGCACTTTTAAAGTGTACTTAATGTTTAACACAACAAGTAAGATAAGAAATAATAAGAAACTTTGGCTACACTTCATTTTGAAGGTCAAAAGTAGGCACTCATCTTGTGTTTGCATTCATCTGCATACACTATATGGACAAAAGTACTGGGACACCTACACATTACAGCTACAGGAGCTTTTATTCTAAATCCAAAGACATTAATATGGTGTTGGTCCCCACTTTGCAGTTATAACAGCTTCCTCTCTTCTGGGAAGCTCTCTACAGATTTCAGAGTGTGTCTGTGGGAATTTTCTCCCATTCATCCAGAAGAGCATATGTGAGGTCAGACACTGATGTTGGATGAGAGAGCCTGGCTCGCAATCTTCATTCTAGTTAATCCCAAAGGTGTTTGATGGGGTTGAGGTCAGGGCTCTGTAAGGGCCAGTGAAATTCTTCCATACCAAATTCACCCAGCCATGCCTTTATGGACCTTGCTTTGTGCACTGGGTCACAGTCATGCTGGAACAAAAAAGGGCCCCAAACTGTTGGAAGTTGGAAGCATACAATTGTCCAAAATGTCTTGGTATGCTGAAGCATTAAGATTTCCCTTCATTGGAGCTAAGAGGCCTAGGCCAGTCCCTGAAAAACAACCCTATAGCATCATCCCTCCTCCACCAAACTTTACACATTGGGCAATGCAGTCAGGCAGGTAATGTTCTCCTTCAGACTGCCAGTTTCCACTGCACTGTGTCCAGTGGTGTCGTGCTTTACACCACTCCTCCCAATGCTTGCCATTTTGCAATTTGATCTTAGGCTTGTGTGCAGCTGCTCGGCCATGGAAACCCATTTCATGAAACTGCTAATGTGCAGTTCTTTTGCTGATGTTGCTTCCAGAGGCAATTTGGAACTCTTTAGTGAGTGATTCAACAGAGGATAGGCACCGTGCACTTCCAGCGCTTGGCAGTCCCACTCTGAGTTTGTGTGGTCTACCATTTCATGGCTAAGCTTTTGTTGCTTTTAGATGCTTCCATTTCACAAGAATAGCACTTACAGTTGACAGGGGCAGATCTAGCAGGACATACATTTCACAAACTCACGAGTGGCAGAGGTGGCATCCTATTTAGTGCCACATTTAAAGTCATTGAGCTCATCAGTACGACTCATTCTACTGCCGATGTTTGTCTATTGAGACTGCATTGCTATGTGCTTGATTTTATACACCTGTTAGCAGTGGGTGTGACTGAAACACCTGAACTCAATAGTTAGGACAGGTGACCCAATACTTTTGTCTATATAGTGTATCTATTAGTGACGAACCATGACTTTTAAGGGTAGGCCTTCAGTTTGGGCCAGAAATGTCAAAAAAGAAAAACAAAAAAACAAACAACTTCTGTTAGTGCCTCAACAGGATTTCTAGTAGTATTTGCAATTATTTTTTAGCCGTTGTAGATTTTCCAATGGACTTTACTTAAGAATTTATCTCTTACCTCACCAAAACTAAACAATGACATAACAGTATTACTATAATACTTGAAGAGGTTAAAAACAGCAAGCATGATGATTCTATTAAATATAAATGAACTAAAAATGACAGACGTTTTTTATATTTTCTTGGAATCTTTAGGTCTTCTCCGAAGGCCTAGAAAGCCCTGAAGGTTCCCCACTAATTAGATTCAATTAAACCACTGCCTAATCCTCTAATCCTAACCTTAACCTCAGCTAAACACCTAAACTGAACCCTAAGACTCGCTTTACAACATGAAACTTTCAAGCAACTAGTTGCAATATGTTGTGAGCCTGCAACAGTTGACAGCTATACAAAGCAATTAATAAATAATTTACACGCAAAAAAGTTACACGCAGCATTCAGTTACTCCACTAGGTTGTCAAATTAGCAGCTTGTGTTTTTAATACACTGAATTGTTCTCATTAAATAGTCATCTACGAGGTGTAATTTCTATATTTTTTTCATCTTTGTACATTTTTTCCTGCTGTCATTAGCGTTCTCTTTTCTATATTTATATATCTGTCGCTTATACATCTATTTAGGATTCTTTACTATATATTTGAGTTTTTTTATCTGTTTCATCTGTTGTCAAGAAAGAAAAAAATTAATCTAGCTATGTGGATCTTGATAAAGAAAAACAAATGTTGGCGCATGCAGCTGTATAAACAGTTGTTAGCATTAGCTGGCTAGTTAGTCTGATTTGTTGTTTCATTAAACTTTTTCCACACAGTTGAGATGGTTGTAGCTGTTGCAGCAGAAATGAGTTGCAGAATGCCTTACATTGTGCAACTTAAGTGCAACTTAGTTTCCTTTTAGTTTCAAGCAGCTATAGTTGCATGAAAGTTTCACTGTGTAAAGCTGTCAAACAGGGGTTCTGATCCCAATGCTAATGCTGCTGATAAACTGTCATCACTCGTTTTTAGTCAAAGTGTGACCTAAACTTTTATAGTCTTTAGAGTGTCTTCAGAGTGTTTCCTAAGAGTCTTTGTATGCTTCAAAGATAGTAAGGGAACCAGACACATACTTTAAGAACACATTATTATGATGATGCAAGAATCATTTGATGTCCTGTAACTAAATGGCAGCGGAGACTGCATTTCTCAATGAGGGTCAGCAGAGTCCTGTGACATGATGATTCAGCAGGGCCTCAGACTGAAGTATTCCTTTGCTTCAGGGAACTATAAAACGGCTGTAATACTTCTGCTTGAGAGGCCACTGGTCCTGTGGTTTAACTGCCTAGATAACAGTCTCCCACATTTAACAAAGGACCACCAGAAAAGCACCAGGACCACCATACTTCAAGTTATTTAGTACAGTCAATAGGCAGTTAATAGGCTCAGAAACATTAACATGACATTTCCCACTAGTATTGCATTCCATATATTATGTTTTATTATTTTTCCATATGTTAAATTCAGCAAAGAAACAGTAATTGCACATTAAAATGTGCAGACATGTGTTCTCTGTAGAGGATGTGTTACGAGGATGTGATAGGACTGTCCATCTTCATAGAAAACAATGTAACATACAATGCCAGAAACCACATAATAAATTACTTGTTACATTTATTGTGTGGTTTAGACATGCAGTTTGCATAATGCTGACTGGTGAATTTAAGCTTTCATTGGCCTCGTATCTCTAGTGCAAAATTGGAAAATTGGACACCCCAACATCTCTCAGCTGATCGACTATATTTACATTACTATTGCCTTAAGGTCATAAGCGCATGGTAAGTCCTCTTAGAATGACAGACTGGTTTAGTAGGTGCTGAGAAAAGATTTTTTGGCACTGTTAACATAATTCACATGGTAATAACTTGAGTAACTGTGTCACGTTAACATGATATAAGAAATCATCATTATTCAGGTTCATATGGAGAGATTTAAAGTACTGTGTGGTGTTCTCTCTTTTAGGAATACTGCTGAATATGAGGTCATGTGAGTAAGTGAGTGCATGTGCGTGCCGTTTTCTTACCATAGACCCATCCTATGGCCACAGACTGGAAGATGGAAAGCAGCAGCAGGCTGGCTCCACTGCAGGAGAAGTGATCGTAGATTTGGAACACGTAGAGGCCTCTCTGCAGAGAGAGAGAGAGAGAGAGAGAGAGAGAAAGAGAGAGAGAGACACGGTAAATCTTCATTAACTCACAAATCCCCCTGTCTGGGCTTCACCCCGTCTCAGTGATATACAGCACGAGAAGCTGGATGAAAGAAAAAAAGAGAGGAGTTTTGGATGAAATGAAGGAGAAAGTTGCAGACAAAGGGCAGAATATCCCACTGAGACAGAGAAAGAAAGAGAGAGAGAGAGCGACATGGCAAGTGAGATGGAAAGACAGACAGAAAATGATGTAGAACCGCTTCAGTTCATTCAACTCGCTTCATTACCCTGCATGATTTAAGTATTATTTTCATAGTTGTTACAGAATAATTTATAATAGAAACTATACGACCTCAGACTGATTCAGTTCTAATTCTTTCACCAAGTAATTCAGTGAATCATGTCTTAAGTTTCACCACAATCCGATTTGATTCCATTTGAGTATTTTGATACAATTCAGGATTATTTTTATGAAAAAACATACGCAAATACGGAAATGTTTAAAGTACATACGCAAATGTTATGTAATGTATTGCACTCTTATGATGAATTACTGCATAATAAATTTGCAAGAATTTTATGTTAATGTAATACCATGAGCTTAAAACTTGTGGCAACATTTTAGTATAGGGGTGCATTATAATGCCTTTGTAACATGCTTATTAAGCTTTATCAAGCCAGTCACTGGTAAATAACTGCCTGCCTATTACTACTTTAAGGGTGAATTAAGTATTTTACTTCAATTAAACATTTAAGTGTAAATCATTATGCCCTTTATTAAATTTTATGTATCCAATAAGTGCATATTAATAAGGCCTCTGGAATGCTTAACTCACCCAAACTACAGCCTAATAAAGTGGCAATAAGCAGCCAGTTAATTTCCAGCTACTAGCTTAATAGGAGCATTACAGAAGCATTGTAATGTCCCTCTATACCCAATTTTCTTGGCTCTGGCAACCAAATGCATTTTGTGCATGGCACTCACCGGTGTGACCATGACCAGTCCAACCATGAAGCAGATTCCACACACCAGCAACAGCAGCAGTTCACGCCTCCGACCCCTACGGATGACTGCTGGGTACAGGTCAGTCAAAGAGGTCATTAGAGCCTCCAGACTGACAAACTGAACACGTACCAAAGGGGTAGAGGAGATGTTGTTATTCATCATTACAATACTACAGTGTGAAGAAGTATATGAAGAAGTTTGCTAATAGTACTGATATTCAGGAAAGGAGACTTGCTTTCAGTTTTTCAAAGAAACCGGTGATATTTGTCCACATTTCCAAAGTTCAGTCTTAGAAGTTTGTTGCAATGTTGCTTCTCACAATCCAAGTATTGCCAAACACATTGTGTTGATGTTGAGGTCTGGACTCTGGGGTGGTCAGTCCACTGTTCTGAAAACACTAGCAGCTTCTTTGTTTGATCTAAACTGTTTTGTCTATTTCATTTTCTCAGTAAGGGCTTCCTGACAGCTACACATCCTTTCAGACTCTTAGTATTGAGCTATCTTCTCACAGTGGAAGAGCAGACCTGTGGAGTTTTTCAGAAATGAAGCAATAGTGGAGCTTGATTTTCTCCTCCCTCTCAAAGATGTAAGCTTTAAGCACTATTTTTCTGACTGTGAAAGTTTTGGTGGTCTACCAGGTCTTGCATGGTTGTGAGTCCCATGTTCCTGTATTTTTTAAATAATTTTTTTAAGTCCAGTTTTGGAAACTCCAGTTTTTCACTAATTCTCATTTAAATTTCTAATTCCTTATGCTGGTAGCTGATCTCCTCAGAAAGATCTCCAGAGAAATTAATAACTTGTACTTCATGTCCATTTGACTAGAAATTAATTGAAATAAATGAATGTAGGGTGGTTTTTGACTTTTGCACAATTCTGTAGTTGCATATGTGTGTGTGAGTGTGTTTCTGTGTGTCTGTATCACCTGTGTGTCCAACCCCAGCATGATGATCATAAGGAAGAAGCACACAGCCCACAGCTGGGGGAGGGGCATCATGGACACTGCGCGTGGAAAGGCTATGAAGGCTAGGCCAGGCCCTAAAAAGACAGAACATCCATCAGCATTGGTTAACTGTTCTCTTAAAGTTTGATGAAATATCAAATTTACAGTTTTCCCCTTACTCCAGATGTAGTTGGCTAAGAATATTTGGTGTATGAATGTTTCTTCTTTAGTTTTGCACTGGAACTGTAAGGCTAATGTAACTATCAAGCAATGGAAGCTTATAGCCACCAGTTAGCATGGAAACTGCATGCCTAAAACATTACACACATAACAATGTAAAAGTAATAAAAGTAAGTGAAGTAGTTTAATAACAGCAGCAGTAGTGCTTCCACATGTGCTGAAGCCTGAATTTTGACTACAATTGAGGTATGGTGGAGTCATGTCAATTAGATTTTTTGGGCAATCTACCATTTCAATGCTTTAACTACTCCAAACTCACAGAAATGAAGAAAGATCTACATTTACCTGATTGCACTACCTCGGAGATATGGACACCCTGTTCTTGTGCCATGAAGCCCAGCACTGCGAAAATGGCAAAGCCGGCTATAAAGCTGGTGCCACTGTTCAGCAGGCACAACAAGAAGGTGTCCCTGAATAAAACAGTCAAACAGTTAAAGCTCTACCTACAAGGAGTTTCCAGACAGTTCTCTAGACAGCAGCTTTAACTACTCAGAGGTACAATGTAAGGGTAAAAATGGATCCTTTTTGGGAAAAAAATTGGTGGTAAATAATTAAAAAAGTTGGAGAGGACTGAGGAAGGGCCGTAATGCTCCACTTGTTAAGTTAATTTAAAGTGAAACTTGAGCATTTCTGTATCTACACAGCTTAAAGGTGGGGCTCATACTGTCTGGTTTGTATTTCATTCTTTGTGTCCTCAGTGTGAACTACAGTCACCAGCCATTTAATCAGAAACACCAACCTTGTACTTCTACACATAGGCCACTTTACTAGAAACACCAACCTTGTACTTCTACATACTGGTCACTTTATTAGAAACATCTACCTTATTCCCCTACACACTGGCCACTTTATCAGAAATATCAACTTTGCACTTCTACAAACTGGTCACTTTATCAGAAACACCTACTTTGTACTTCTACACACTGGTCACTATATTAGAAACACCCATCTTGCACTTCTACACACTGGTCACTTTATCAGAAACACCTACCTTGTACTACTACACACTGGCCACGTTATTAGAAACACCTATCTTGTACCTCTACACACTGGTCACTTTATTAGAAATGCCTACCTTGCACTTCCACTTACTGGTCATTTTATTATAAATGCCTACATTATACTTCTACTAGCTGGCCACTTCATTAGAAACACCTGCCTTATACTTCTACACACTGGTCACTATATTAGAAACACCCATCTTGCACTTCTACACACTGGTCACTTTATCAGAAACACCTACCTTGTACTACTACACACTGGCCACGTTATTAGAAACACCTATCTTGTACCTCTACACACTGGTCACTTTATTAGAAATGCCTACCTTGCACTTCCACTTACTGGTCATTTTATTATAAATGCCTACATTATACTTCTACTAGCTGGCCACTTCATTAGAAACACCTGCCTTATACTTCTACTTACTGCTCACTTTATTAGAAACACTTACTTTGCACTTCCACCCACTGGTCTTTTTTTTATAAATGCCTGCATCATACTTCTACTAGTTGGCCACTTTATCAGAAACAACTAACTTGTACTTCCACTCACTGGCCACCTTATTAGAAACACCTACTTTGCACTTTAACTGACTGGCCACTTTATTTGAAACACCTAATTTAAAATTTTCACTCACTGGTCATGTACCTTTTACATGTACTGTTGCAGACCCATTTGTTGTCATGTATGATATAATCACCCTCTACCTCTTTGCTCTTTGGTATGTTTCTGACCACAGGACCACTGTTGACCAGATATTGCTTGGGTGGACCATTGACTACTGTATCATGTAAATTCAAAGCACCATTTTTTCAGTTTAGGTTTAGAGTGCCCCCCCCCCATCCAAAATATCCTTGTCGTGGTTAGAAAGATAAAGGAACTCAACCTGTACTTCAACAGATGGGCCTCAGTCTCTTACTGTACACCAGCAAAGTGGACCTGCATGGTAGGTGTTTCCAGTGAAGTGGCCAATGATTGTATGTGACATTATTTATCAAAAGAACTTACTAATAATTATCTGTTTAAATAACAGCATTGGAATAGCTACTTCCTGGCAGTAGTTCACTGGTTTCTAGCAAATGTCTGCTCTTATGGCACAAATTAGCAGTACACAATCAAATGAGGTTACATATAGAAATCCCAAAACATCACAGCTGCCCTGGATTAATGTAAGTGTACTAAAAGAGCCTGAAAAACATACACTTTTTACATTTTACATACATTTTAGTAGGTGTGTTGTTATTACAAATCCTCTACGGTTCCAAAAACTAACTGATTCCATGATTGGGCCCTCAAAGTTGAACTTCAGAAGTCTTACATTAAAAAGAAATAAATAAAGGGGGGAACGCCTGAGAACTTTCCCATGTCTCACACAAAACAAAACAAAACACAAGTTAAACAATCTGCTGTGAGAAAGTGAGACGGATCTCCACAGTTGTTGATCTTAGCATGCTGATGTGTGTTTTGCTGAAGGGCCTTTGTTAGGGTTGCGCACTGTACCTGTAGCAGTCATTGTTGAATTTATTGTAGCTGCCTAGAGCAGTGAGGCTGCCTAAACAGATACCATAAGAGAAGAAGATTTGGGTTCCTGCGTCCATCCACACCTTTACAGCCGGAGAGAGCAAAAGAGAGAAGGTCATGACCTATGGGCTGGTCCTACACAAACCGTCCTGTGTTGTAGTAACTGAGCCAGGAACATCTGTTTTCAGTGACTTGTAAGTGGGCTAAGTTTGGGCTCGGCCCAAAATGTCGAGTTTATAGTGTGATGACATACGTTTGCACCAATGCTGAGGATGTTTACAAAAACTACCCACACTTGTTTTTTGAAAGACTTTGCTTAGTCTGAATGAATTGCCTAAACTTCCTTTCTCTGATCTCCTTATAGTGAAGTAAAATCCCTGCTGTCATGATATTTCTATTCATTTATAGCATCAAAGTGATACTAAAGTAGCAAGAAAAAGTATGTGAACCCTTTATAGGAATTACCTGCATTTATGTACAAATTTGGTCTGATCTTTACTTAAGCCACAATAAAGAACACAATCTGTTTAAAATAATATCACTGTTAATAACTAATACATAATATATTATTCTTGCCCATATTGAATATGTTGTTCAAACATTTGCAGTGTAGGTTGGAAAGAGTATGTGAACTCTGGGCTAATGACTTCAACAAAAGCTAACTGGAGTCAGAAGTTAGCAAACCTGGAGTCCAATCAGTGAAGTGAGATTACAGGAGTGGGTTAGTGCTACGTCGACTTATAAAAATTACTCAAATATTTAGAGTTTGCTATTCACAAGAAGCGTTTAAATTTAGTAAATTTTACAAAATAATTTCAAAGAGTTTAGGTATTCATCAGTCTATATTTATTTAGATAAACAATATATAAATTGAGATGATCTAGTGCTGTGTCTACTTGGCCTGGACAGCTTGCAATCACTGAGGGAAAACAGAATTATTAAGTTTATCAAGATGCGACAGGATCATTTCATGGTGGCTGTCTGAAGCTGGTTAATGCAGCAGGACAATGACCCTAAACATGAAAGTAAATCTACTCCAGAAAGGCTTCAAAAAATAAAACCCACATTTGTAGTGGCCATTCAGAGCCTGGACCTCAACCCAACACAGATGCTGTGGAATGACCTAAATAATCATTCACACCAGATATCTGAAGAATATGGCTGAGCTGAAACAATTCAGTAAAGAAGACTGGTCCAGTAATTCTCTTGAACATTGTGCAGGTCTGAGCTGCAGCTACCTGAAGCTCTTGCTTGAGGTTATTGCTGCCAAAAGAAGTTTGACCAGTCATTAAATCCAAGGGTTCACTTACTTTTTTTCACCTGCACTGTGAATGTTTACTTGTTGTGCATAATAAAGACGCTGCAAGATTACAATTGTTTTTGTGTGATTAGCTTTAGCACATTGTGTTTGTCTATACCTATCACTTAGGTGAAGAACAGATCACACTTTATGACCAATTAATGCAGAAAACTAGGCATTTCCAAAGAGTTCACATACTTTTTCTTGCCACTGTACTTTATCCACTGTGAGGAGAATTCCACATTACTGTACAAAGGTCAGAGACCCCTTCTTTCATTTATGCAATTTCTAATCAAAATGGCCACTGAAATTTCTGCATAGTTCAATGGTTAAGATGTAAACAAAGTCCTTTAGAGTGGTTTGATGTGAAATGGTTTATGTAGAAAAACTTACCAACAATTTTCTTTACAGTAGTGCTGATAGGAACCTGGGGTCATGTCTACAGTGCAAATATAGGTACTTTATTTACTATCCAAAATGACCAGTAAAGCTATACATGTCTTCTGAGATCTGGTAAGATAGTGTTAAATCTGAAAAAAATGCTTTCTACAAAGTGAAAAAAAGTGAAAGCAAGACTCCACAAAAAGAATGGAAGGTGTAATAAAGTCAAATGTTGGACACACTAAAAGCTAAAAAAAAAAACAACCTAATAATGTATTTTGCTGTTGAGGCTTCTGTGTAACTTTCTGCTTACTATACATTTTCTGCTTTTTTTCTTGATGCTGAAAAATTAATAATTTAATAACCATTTTGATTGAAAGGGTGGTCTTTGACTTTTGCACAGTACTGTAGCTCCAAGAATCTTCAGATAAAAATGAAATAAATTAATGGCTGACTAAATAAATAAATAAATAAAACACTAGAAAACCTGAATCCTTGACTGTTGGCTGAACATATGAAACCTAGAAGAAATATAGCTGAGGTATTTTTTCATAAATCAAAGTGATTGATTCCTAAAGCTTCTTGTCCTTGGTGAACTGTATTTATGGTGATGGGACACAAGCTAACTTATCACCGCTGTTCTAAGAAAGTGTCCGTGGCCCACCTCAAAAATGGTAACTTTGTAGAAGTAGGAACATTCTTAACATCTGTTAGTGTAGCCGAAAAACTAATAAAAAGACGAGGATTATGATGTGCGGATGTTTGAGTCATGCTGTGTTACCTGAGGGTCAGCAAGACGTGTGTGGTTAGGTTTGAGGTAGTAGATGATGCCCTCTACAGCGCCGGGCAGGGTCACACCACGGACCAGCAGAACCAGCAGCATGGCATACGGGAAGGTGGCTGTGACGTACACGACCTGAACACAAAACAGATGCAACACACACAGACAGAGAGACACAAACACAACATCTACTTTATTGTGATGCATGCTGACTGTTCCTGCTGTGTGACCTGAAGCAATTGAATGGATGTATGTGACTATATATGGATGCTGTCTGTCAGGTAAAGGGGGGCTAACAAATTATCCAGAGAAACAGATTGTAGAACTAGAAAGTACAGTTATTGTTCCAGCAGCATTCAAGGCTGCCAGGGTGGTTCCCATCCTGAAGAAGCCCATGCTTGATAGCTCTGATGTCAGCAGCTGCAGACCAGTATCGCTTCTTCCTTTCCTCTCAAAAATTCTTGACTGTGCAGTCTATAATCAATTACTCTTTCTCACTCAGAACCAACTCCAGGACCACAACCAGCCTGGCTTCAAATCGGCACACTCAACAGAGGCCCTCATAGCAGTGACTGAGAAGCTCCAGGCAGCAAAATCAGCCAAACTGTTCTGATTCTTCTTGACTTCTCAGCAGCCTTTAACACAGTCAACCACAACGACAAGAACCTTGGAATCACTGGCTCTGCATGGAAGTGGTTTGAGTCCTATCTGTGCTCTTATCAGGTAACATGGAGAGGGTCCACACCTGCTCTCTGCAAGCTCTTCACCGGTGTCCCACAAGGCCTGGTGCTAAGACCACTTCTCTTTTCACTCTAATGTAATGTCCTCTCATGGCCCAACTAACGCTTTCCTTCCCACCTTCTGACACTGGTTTCCTGTCACATTTCAGCATGTCTAACTGGCATCTCACCACCAGAAGCTCAATCCTAGAGAGACTAAGCTGCTATTCATCACTGGGACTACAGGTCCTCACCATGATCTTGCTATCTCATTCAAGAACACCCTGGTCATTCAGGTTTCTCCTGTAGAACATTCGGAGAATTCAACCCTTTCTCTCTCAGGTGCTAGTTCAGTCTCTTGTCATCTGAAGGCTTGACTACTGCAACTCGCTCTTGGCTGGTCTTCCTATGTGGGCCATCAGGTCCTTGTAGCTTAAAACTCTGATGCTTGCCTACAAAGCCAAAAATGGACCAGCCCCACCCTACCTTAAGACAATGGTCAAAATGTAATCTGTACCTTGAGCCCTTCAAACATCAAGTACAACTTGGCCTGATCTGCCATCCTTCAACATGCATGGAAGACAAGCATCATGACTTTTCTCTGTCGTGGCTCCCAGATGGTGGAGCGAACTTCCACTGGCTGTCCGAACAGCAGACTCTCTTATGGTTTTCAAACTCAGACAGAAGACCCATCTCTTTTGTACAGCACTTATATGAGCACTAACCTAGATAAATGAAATGTATTTTATTGCACTTATGTTTAATGCATTTTGTATCTTTCTAGGTATCAGCTCTGGCTTTTGTGTCTGGCAGTGTCTGAGGTCAGGGGTAGTTTGGACCCTAACCTATTTGTACTCACTAGGATACATTCTCTGAGTGGACAAAAAAAGCACTTTTGTAAATCAAGAGTGTCTGCTAAATGCTGTAAGTGTAAATGGTGTAAATGTATACGAAAGTTTTGGGCAATTGGGCACAAGAAGTTTGTATAATCACCATAGAAAAGAATTGCCAATAGAATGGGATGCTCTGGAGCAGCCACAAGTCACCATGCTCAGTGCCAAGCATTGGCTATAAAGGTATAAAGCCACCCAGCATTCAGCTTGTGTTTCTTGAAGTAGTTCATGGTGGATTTTGAGGTATGTTTTGGATCTTTGTCCTGTTGTTGAAGCCAGCCTCTTTTCAGCTTTAGCTTCTTAACTGACTGTCACATTTGCTTCCAGAATTTGCTTTTATTTACTAAAATCCATTGTGCCACTGGTTACCACACATCCCCATAGCATAAGAAATCCATCCTCATGCTTAACAGTTGACAAGCTGTTCTTTTCATCAAATGCTCCTCCTGTTTTCCAAACACACCATAGGTGTGGCCAAAGAATTCCAATTTTACTTCATCAGTTCACAGCAACTTTTGGTGGTGTTGTCTTTCATAGTTCAGATATTGACTTTTGTGATGAGGTGTCAGGAAAGGTTCTCTTCTAATGACTCTTCCATGCAGATCATGTTTGTGCAAGCAATGCACAGAAGAACAGTGCACCACCACTTCTGTGTCTGTGTTCTTGGTCTTCCAGGTCTTGCCTTGACTTCCATGTAACTGTGCACTAACATCAACAAAATATGTCATTTGGCCAGGGGTGCCCACACTTTGCATACAACTATTTGGTAAATGGCCTTGATAAAATGGACAATGAGTGAAGATACAAGGTGTACAATAAAGTGTCCAGATAGTTTCTAGAAAAAGCTGTTACTGAAAAAGGAAACATGCAAATTTGTATTAAAGCATTTGAAAAGCTACATGTCTGTAGACTTTTGATGTCGAGGGAACGTGTATGTTTCTTCTCATTCACCTTGCCTGTGGATTTGACCCCCTTCCACACACAGAAGTAGCAGACCACCCAGACCGCCAGCAGACATAGAGCCAGTCTCCAGTTTACAGAGCCCAACTCTCCGACTCCATCAGACACATTCAATACCTCCCGCCTGGAGAATAACAATAGCACAATCTACCACACCATATCTGTAATCTGTACAATCATGCACTACAAACATACTGAAAGCTTCTACACTCTGCTGTACTCACTCCCAGAACTCCATAACAGGAGAGGTCGCATTCAGAGGAAGTCTGCTGATGTTCTCACCCTCAAACACTGCACAGGTCTCTGTAGTGGATAAAAATACATGAAAAATGTCCAACATGCTAGTTAGACATTATATAGATTTACTTTTTACACTAATATAAGGTATCACTCTAACAAAGAAGTTCAAAGCTCAACAGTGTCTCTGAAACAACCCCCTGAAAGTAAGTTCAGTATTACCTTAGTTTAGTTGTACGATACTCTGCTGCAGTTTTTTTAAATGACAGTTTTATTTTTCTATTTAAAGACATGAAGTTAAAACACAAGGTACACATATACACTTTTCCCTTGGAAAGTGAATGTAGTACCTTGAAAACTCATGTTACACAATTGGACCTTATGGCTAGCTTTATATGGTGAAACTTTTATGTAACTTTAGTTGCTTGAAACCTACATGAAACTTAATTGCAAAATCCTGCAACTTATTTGAAACTCAGCTGCAACAGCTGTAAGCATCTCACCTTGGGAAATAAGTTTCATGAAACTGCTAATCAATGTGCCACTAACACATCACCTGATTTCACTGGAACAACAGACAAGAAAATAAATGTTTTATTAGATTTTTGAAAAGTTATTGACTTGAGGTTGGTTGTTCTTCATTTCATCAGTTTCCTGAGCCATGACAACACACGTGAGTTGGGTGTGGCTGTGACTGATGGTCAGCTGATTGTCAGCTGTGTTACCTGTGTTCCAGGTGTTGTTGCAGTGGGCCCAAGGAAGTTCGGACTGGAAGCTGCAGCCCAGGTAGAAGAGAGCCCAGGCCAGAATGATGATGTAGTACACACATCCATGCAGGATCATCACCTGACTGGCATAGCCCAGACCTGCAACACCAGCCTTCATATCAGCTTATGACTGACTTATTATGATATTTTAAATAGGGAATTCCACATTTATACATAATTCAATCATTACAGTAATTTAGAATCATTTGAATATAAAATGGTTCACTGTACAGAAACTACAGTTTTCGTTACAGTGGTGGTGATGGGAACCAGAGGTCCCAATCTCTACAGTGCATGTTTAGCCATTGTATTTGTATCCACAATGAACACCGAACCAACATGTACCTTCTGAGTTTTTATATGTAATGGTAAATTACAGCGATAGTACCACTTCTGAAAAAATGTGTACTGTTTGGGGGCTACTTTCCCTTAAAGTGCCCTGCAAGAACCCCTTCATCATGAATAGCTTTTTGTAAAAATTGTTTTTGTCCAAAACCTAGAGTTGTTGCTAGTCCTAAACAACTTCCTTGCCACCCCAACCCAAATTAAACTGAATTTGGTTTTTAGGGTAACATTTTATTTGGATGGTCCATTGTGAACTAAAAAAAATCCCATTATTTTGGGATTTCATAAAATAAAAGTCTACTTTTAGAAGATGCTTCTTTTGTTTGATCTCTGCTCTAATACATTTTGTTGTAAGGACCTGGTTATAAAGTCAAATGAATTCAATACTGCTGCCAATCAGCATCAGAGCTGATGTTTTTAATCAATCTGGCCGATCGACAGTCACAGACATAAATGACATGTCTAAAGACAATTATTGGTGTATGGTTGGAGGGTAAATAAATAAATCTCATTTTAAAAAAGGCCAAAAAAAGACCCTAAATAACTTGGGAGCCTGGGACTCAGGCATTAAATCACTCCTGAATACATCTGTTTTATTTTTTGCCACTTTATTTACTCTACACACATTGTATCAGTTCCACATGTTTTTTGTTTTGATTTGCAGGGACATAGCGTACAACTTAGACTACACAATTTATGGAATTAAAACTTACTGTATTACAGACACATTTAAAACATTAAGCAAAAATAAGTTTTGACTTGCAAAAAGAAAACATTTGACATTAATCTCAACTGCTTTTTATGTTGAGGGAAGGCACTGTACGCTGACTTTATATATTCGAATGAAAATGTGTAGCATAATTTGTACAGTTCTTACAATATTAACGGGGTATACTGCTGAAATGCCCATCACAAACTCTCATTTATTTTAGGCCAACTTATGGACTTATCACTGCTGACATAATACTGCTCAGAACTATAATACTTCACACCTTCACTAATTACTCAGCTTTTCTTGAGTTGACTCTACTGAAGGACACTACAGGCATTGCTGGGGTTCAAATAATCTGGGGTGATGGCTCAGTCTGGAACACCTGGAGCACCTGAAGTTACACATATTTCATGTCTATAAATGTTTAATACCCTGTAGGAAATATGTGTTGCTTTAACTTCAAAAGATAAAATGGTCAGAAGTGGTGCAACTTTCTGATGATTCATCCCAACTTCAGGAGATTGTGAGTTTGAAGCCCAGAAAAGCCACACCTGACCATATCTGGAAGCCCAAGAGGAGAAAATGTCTGATGGAAAAAGTGATACATCAAATGCACTTGATTCAAGCTTTACATCATTTACACACCAGTTTGCTTGCAGTATATGCATCCTACTACTGGGATTGTGTATGGGCCCAGTGCGTTCCATAAACACACATAACAGTCCACTTTGGAGTCTTTAACAGCCCGGCTGCTCACCATATGGCCTGGACACCTTCAGCTCAACCAACAGATGCTATGATATAAATATTTTCTGTACTATACATGCTATTGAGATTGAAATTCAACTGTAACAGTTATGGATGACTGCATTTGAAAACTTCCTCTTCCAGAAATGACTGTTGCTTAGAGGTACTGTACATGTGTAATTCTTGCTTTTATTGCCCTAGTCTGGACTTGGGTGGTATTTGACCTCTCAGAGACTGGATATGCATGTTATATTAATTAATAACTTAATAGCTTGAAACCATGTAAAAGAAATCCTTTTATCCTTTTTCCAAGAGCAAATGTTCATAATGTTCTTATAAAACAAAACAACCAGTTGTTAAATTAAGCTGTTAATATTTATTGAAAGAAATATGCATTAAATGCATTAATAAAGATAATAATTACAGATATCATGGCATGTGTAATGAAAGAAGCCACAATACTAACAATCATACAGTGACACTTTATTTGAAAGCCCTTTGTTAAGGACCTTCGCTTTCAAAACACATACAAGCCCTATTTCCAAAAAAGTTGGAATGCTGCACAAAATGTGAATAAAAACAGAATGCAATGATGTACACATCATTTAAACTCTGTATTTAATTGAAAATAGTACAAAGAAAACTTTTCAAATAAGAAACTGTATTGTTTTGTGAAAAATATATGCCCATTTTGTATTTGATGCCAGCAATACATTTCAAAAAAGTTGAGACAGGGCATGTTTACCACTGTGTTGCATCACCTGTTTTTTAACACCACTCTGTAAGTGTTTGGGAACTGAGATGACCAATTGCTGTAGTTTTAAAATCATTAACGCTGAATGATATATAAAGGTTTTGGGGTAACACATGCTGCCACCCAGACAGCGTCTTTTTCAGGGAAATGTTTTCCCATTTATCTGCTCAACAGTTCAGGATCTCCTTTGTCATATTTTTCATTTCATAATGCCCCAAATGTTTTCAGAGGGTGGCAGTTCTGGACTACAGGCAGGCCAGTTTAGCACCAAGACTTTCTTACCACGGAGCTATGCTGTTGGTATATATGCGGAAAGTGATTTGACATTGTCCCACTGAAGTAAGCAAGGCCTTCCCTGAAGAAGACGTCATCTGAATGGCAGCATATGTTGCCCCAAAAACTGGATATTTTGTTCAGAATTAATGGTGCTTTCAAAGATGTGCAAGTCACCCATGCCATGTGCACTAATGCACCCCCATACCATCAAAGATGCTGACCTTTGAACTGTGCACTGATAACAAGCTGGAAGGTCTTTAGCACAAAGGATGCGATGTCCTAGATTTCCAAAAAGAATTTCAAATTTTGATTTGTTTACGATATATCAGATAATAACATCAGGAATTTGGGTGGTTTTCTAAGCTGAATTACTCACTGATGCTGACATCACAGCTCGATGACGACAGTCTGAGGTCTAGGTCTGAATAGTCTGATATGTGTATCAGGTCTGTAGCTTAAACCGTTCTGAAGTTATGAAGGCTAGAAGTTATCTACATCTTTGTGGGCTTCGGGTTCAAAGGTTTAAATTCTGAGTAAGTACTATATATTGATGATTATATTTTGAGTAAGTACTGTTGTATATACCTATTATTTTTCATGTAGCTACTAAGAATGTGCAAAGCATGCACCAGAAAATTACTTCTAAGTACTTCATATTTACCTTTTAAATTATGAGTAAGTACAGCTGTACATACCTGGTAGTTTTGTAATATAAATGACTATGTATGTGCAACGTATGTATCAAAAATATATATAGGTACCACATATTTTTCTATTAAATACCAGTTACTAACCGTATCGTAAAACAAAGTACTACAATTTTTTTATAACCATTTCCTAATCTGTGCAGATCCACAATCTTTTGTCTCATTTGAATTGACAACCCTTTGGTTTTGCCCATGTTGATGCATGAGAAAGGGATTTTACATGTGTGTGACCTCATGTTCACACCCCAGAGAAACAGGAAATGGTCATAGACATCAGTCCAAGTCCAGGAAACTGAGAGAAATAAAAAGAAAGATTTTTTTCCTCAAAGATGCAGATGTCTTTGGTGTTATTTACATTATTCTATAAGACTGCCAATCATTTTGCCTCAATTTTTTGATAAAAAAAATTGCTGTTTAGCTGTTTAGCATGAAGATGCATTTTGTTGAAGGGGCGCTATCGCCTCCACGTATGTGGCAGCGTTCACATGGCATGATTTCCATCATAGCTTAATGCATGGTTGCTGACGTAAAAGGCCCTGGATTCCTGTACATCAAGTTCCATAAAACCCTTGTTTCTGTAGGAATGCAGGTACACGTGAATGTGTTTTACCTCCAAACAGTGGACAGATGCTTCTCCAGGCACTGACTCCCCCTAGACTGGTGTACTGGCCCAGTGCTGTCTCCAAGAGGAACAGCGGGATCCCACAGAGCACCAAGAAGAGGAGATACGGGACAAAGAACACACCTATAGAAAAGACACATAGGAGAGAAAGCATACCACAATTACATTAAAACATCAAAATCAAGATATGTTTAATGGATAAATGCACAAATATAACTTTTAGCAGCTAATTCTTGTCTATATCTTATTATGCACAAATGTATACAAAAGCCTCCTCTAAATTAACACACTTAAATGTGGCATTTTTATGCAAATTTTGCTGCAAAACTATTTATTTGCTGAGCTTAACATGTTGGATAAAATAAAACATAAATAAAACTTGCCATAACTTTTGCACAGGCTACATGTTGTACATTTATTATTCAAATTCAGTAAATAAACAGTAACTGTGCTTTACAATGTGCAGAAATATGTCTGTATGTATTGAAGGTTGTCCACATAGACTTCATAACACATACATAAGCATTGAAGTACAGTGCTTGAGTATTTATGAACAACTTATTTGCATTGTTTTATACCAGACTCCAATTAACAAAAGTTCTGAAAAAATTCTGGTAAAAGTCCATTTTTAATGTGTCAATTTACAGTAAATTACTGGATTCTGAGTTGCATGGCTTTTACAGTTGTTATGTAAAAACACAGGAAACTATTGTATTTTAATTACAGCTTATTATCATACGTGTACAGAAAAATGCAGCTATATCGCTGTAATGTTGTCATCCAGGTGATTGTTAAATCACATAATGAAGTTGCTATTTTACTGTTATTTACTTTATGTCCTTGGTCACGTTAAACACAATCTATTGTGACATATCATTCAAAATACAAAATTCTTGTTTCTCTATAATTTCTGATTGAAGTATAGTGACTTTTGCGCCTCTAAATGCCATCTGATGTTTGAATGCGGCAGGGGAAAAGTTATAATAACCAAAAATACATTAGCATGTCAAAATATTGTAGTACTTAGGTTTTGACAAAATATGGTTATTAATCTCTATTTCAATTTTATTTTAATTTTAATTTGTATTTATTTGGCTTTTCTGAAAAACAGACAGATTCTGTTGACTTTGGAGTCTGACTTTTGGAATTCTATCATGATTCATTCAAATCCTGAAGATCAAAATCATGTCCCAGACACAATTGTTTCCTGTTACTCAGTACTTACATATGTCTTATGAAGTCCTAATGTAGGTAGCCATCAAATTAAGTGTAAATCCTTGACTAGAGGCCTGTGGTTCCATATACATATATTATCAATGTGAATCATATGCACTGCAAAATAACAATAATAAAACTGGACTTCTAAGAGTGAAAATCAACAAAAACAGATATTGTAAATAGGTTAGTGCACAAGTTAACACAAAAGTTTTAGTGGGAAAATGAATAAAAGAATGACTTCTACATTCGAGGCCTTTGACATGCATGCTCCATATTACAATACAACACTCTCCCCTATAGCTGCACTGTCCCACATTAAATAAACCCAGACACAGAATCTTTTAAAGCAAAGTTTGCTGAATGAAGCTTTTATCAGCCTCTCACCTCCTCCATTCTTGTAGCACAGATACGGAAAGCGCCAAACGTTACCCAGCCCAATGATCTGGCCAGCCACAGCCAGCAGGAATTCGGCTTTACTGGCCCATTGACCACGATCCTGAATCTTCTCTTCCCCCTCTGCAGTCCCATCTACAACTTTCTCTGCCAGGGTGCTATCTTTGAGCGCCTCTGCTTCCTGCAGCACGCTTGCCTGACACACCATGGCAGGCTCGGTCAGTGGCATACACACTCATACACACCTGCACACACAATGCAGACGGACAATGAAAGAGTGAAGCTCTGTAGCTGCCTAAACAGAAACTCCACGTCACTGGGAAGAGAACATGTCAACTTACATCACGCTGTACGTTCCTCTTACTTAAGGTTACTGTCTGTTGGGAGTGCTGTGAAAACTTATCTGAGCGGGCTACTTCTACAGCATGTGTTTATGGGTGTTATCTAATTCTGTCAGCCTTGGCAGGGGCTTAGACAGCTGTGACGGCAGGAGAGGGGGAGGGGTGACTGAAACAGCTCTCATTACACTAAAGAGCAGACTTGTCTCTGTGCAAATCCTTGAAAAATAACTTGCAGTCACTTTTACTTTGTCCTGGTTTACAGGACACAGACTTATAGGTTACATAAGGTGAAATGAGGCAGTGCAAAGGCCTCCGAGCCTTGCACTGCATAATGATACATGGCAATCACATGTTTTGCTCAGTTCAATTTCATCTAACCATCTAACCTCTGCAAGTACTGTTTTGCAAGTTTTGGTTGGAAACAAAATGTAAAATCTAGGCAGATACAGCCAAGTGAGCTCTCTCATTGGTTAGGCCTTCCGGAGCTGGATAGAAGGCCTTACACATTAGATTAACAACATAACTAGGAAGTGACAGTAGAATCAACCAATCAATTTCGAGATCCAATAGGTGAGCAAATTTCATCAGAAAAAAAAACCACTCAAGCTTCTGGAAGCCCAAGATGCACTATATGTCTAAATATTTGTAGACACCAGCTCATCCAAGGGCATTAATAGGAAGTTTAGTTGCCCTTTGCTGCAGTAACAGCCTCTAATCTTCTGGGATAGCCTTACACTAGATGTTGGAACATTGCTGTGAGGATTCAATTGCATTCAGTTATATTAGTGAGGTCAGGTACTGTGTTGAATGATTAGTTCTGGATCAGAAAGCAGCACTACCACTGGACTCATCCCAATCACTTCAGAGAACACAGTTCCACTGCTCCACAGCCCAGGGCTGGGGAGTTTTAAACTTGTTTAGCTGACGCATGGCATTGGGTATAGTGACCAGGCTGCTCCAGTGTATCCCATTCTCTGTGATGCTCTGGACACAGTTTAACCTTAGGAAATGTGTTGCCATTAAATTCTTGGGAAGCGGCTGGTTGAGTTCTAACATAAATCTAGGAATCATCAGTATTGAATTGAAAAGACAGGCTGCAGCGCAAAGGAGCAGAACATACATAGTAAATAACAAAGGACCCGAAACAGATCCTTGTGGAACACCCTGAGAGACAGTACTGAGTTTTGACAGTTTCATGGCATAAACTCTTACTGGTCATGGTTCACCTCTGGCACTGTATGTTATATGAGGCATGCATGTCATGGGTCCTTTTTTTATTTGATTTTCCCCTAAAATTTCTTTTGCAATTGAATTAACCTATCAACAGTCTCTGCTTTTGCTAATTTAGAAAGAATGCACCACTAAGCCTCAGCTGTAATTGGAATAAACAAGAATTTCTTAAAATGTCCCCTATTGCATGATGGTCCATAATACCTGAATCAACCCCATGCCTACTGTCATGGGTTATGCAGCCATGTCTTTATGCAGTATAATGTAATTATAGACTTGAGTGGAATGAAGCTAAGAGGAGAGGTTATGAGCCAAGTGTGTGCTGTGACTGGGGCAACGTTCTGTGTTTAGCCTCTTATTCCTCTTTTAGTTCTGGATTTTTTGACCTCCTGCGGGGCTCAATATTCAGTAACGTCCACGGATAACTCTATGAGACTGTGAGACTGAGAAATGAAAGGGTAAAGTAGATTTACTGAAACATTGCGAAGTTAATCCTTATGGAAAACTCATGACATCACATATAAACTACAAGGCTGCCTACACAGATGTTAGCAAATGACTGTCCAGCAAGCGACTGGACAGCTCACAAAAGGCTAAGACTGTATTATTCATTTCAACATTTAAGAACAACACAATTTCAAATGTACTTCTATTATTTTTAAGTACTATCACATATTTATCTATGAGTTTTGGAGTGTTCAACAATTCAAACCTCAAAAACTGCTGCTATGTGCTTGAATTACAAAGTATTGTGGAATACATTAGCTCTGATACGGCACAAATGTGTCCCTAACTTTTCATGGTGCATTGTGGGATTTTGTTAGGGAACAAAACAAATTTTACATTAGAATTTCTACATTTCTATATTCATAGACAGATTACTATAGAGAGCAACAGTTCATTTAAAAAGCCTTGGTTCACTTGTCCATCCATGTGCCTTGTATGCATACTGTGGGTATAGCAAAAGCATTACTGCAGTCGATCTGTGTCTACACTCAATGGCCACTTTATTAAGCACACCTATTCTACAACTGTAGCAGTCTCTTCTTCTACAGTCCCTTAAGTTCTAGGTGTTAACTTATTTTTTGCTTAGGAAATCAACAAAGCATGCAATTTGACCAGATCAATGGACCTACAAATCAGAAAGGTGACTGAGCACATGCTTCTGACATGTACTGGTCTGTGAAACTGCAGTGTCATAATAAGAAACCTTAAGAAGAATCTGACACACTCAAAAAATATTTCCTAATTCACGTAAACAGAGTTTCTGAGGGAAGCTATTAAGTGCACTACATAGTCAAATGTTCCCCCACTTTCAGATGAATGCTTTCAGCCAGGTGAGGCCAAGAAGAAAAAGGGAGGGATGAAAAAAAGGGTGGTGAACATACAGAGGAAAGAATTCACTTCCACGCTGAACCTTGAGCTGTTATTTTAAGTTACTCGTGTTTTGGAAAATTGCGTCTGGCTTCATAGTTTCCGTCTCCGCAGGCTTACGAATCCTGAGTGGGCGAGAATTAAATTCTGTGAAGGTGCGCATGCTGAAGATGCAGTGGGGTTTCTGGGGGAAGTCAGTCTTCACCAGCCATTTAATTTATTCATATGACTCCTATGAATAAAATAAACTTTATGTGCACTAATAATGTGTATATATACAATATTTGTTAAAATATGACATTTAAAACTTAAAAATGTGAAAATGTGCAAATATAGTCACCAAAGGATGCTTTCAAAATATTCCGTTTTTAATATTTCAAGTGTTTTGGAATGGTGTTAAATTATTAAATGGGATAAAGTGTAATTATGTATTCACAATCATCTTTATCAGACTCAACATTAGATCAACACATTTAAGGTACTTTAACACTAAAGAAAGTGCTAAACAAATGTACTGTTCTCAAAGCTGTACAGCTATGTGGTAGATATATGTAAGATTTCTTCAAAAGTCAGTGAACACCCTTTTGTTTATTTAACTTTCAGCCAAAATGGCCTTTAAGTACAAGTTTTGCAAGTTATAAAATGTATTAACATAAATTGAACAGAATAAAATCTAATCAAATCACATTTCTAATATACATAATATTAATAATAATATACATAATATACATAGTATAATTTATATGTATATATGTAAGAAGAGAACAAAATATAAATATATTTACACACATTAGACTCTAAATATATACACAATTACACATTAGTATAAACCAGTGTTGCACCGTTCCAATATACAGCTTTGTACAGTAATAGAAGTTATGAAATAAAAGCTATGATATGTACAGTTGTTCACATTTCCTTATATGCAATATGTGTATCTGAGGTACATGAATGATATGCAGGATACATAGTGGATAGAATATATATATTCCAGGTTATACAAGATATGGATGGAAGATGTACAGGATGTCAATGTATAGATTTGCTAGATTGAAGTTATAGTGAGTGTGATTGAGGTGTGGATATGGTGTGGATTGTCTATGGAGATCATGATGATGATGACTCAGAAGTGTAGTGACAGGCCCATTGACCGATACACCAGCACTGTTCAGCAGCCTGATGGCCATGGGGAAGAAACTGTCTCAGAACCGACTGGTTCTGGACTTTATGCTTCTGTACTTCCTCCCATTTGGCAGCTGTGAGAACAAACAGAAGCCTCCAACACCAAACATAATGTCAAATCTATCAATATTTACTCTGTCCTTTTTTTTTTTTTGCCCAGACCACTATCCCTTGTCCACACCATCACCCTCCTCTTCAGGTACAAATACTACTTTTCTTTTCTCCTGTTCAAAGCTGTGTAAGTACAGTGTGATGTGTGACATACCACAGACAGTGATGTAGCCGTGTGCCCTACTTACACAGACCACTCCCACAACCCCCCAAAAAAGATGAAGAAACAAAAACAACTAAATCTTGACTAGAAATGAAATAAATGAAGACTGAAGGTTGAAGCTTTCTGACTTTTGCACAGTACTGCACTGCACATCCAACTAAATATCTACTCTACCTTTTTAGACATTACTGATGCAAATAATAAATTTAGAATTTAATCTAAGTCTGTTTTAGTAACTCTTTTGTACATAAACTAATGCAGTGGCCAAAAGACAGCCATTTGTCCGATTACTTTTGGTGCAATAAAATGTGACATATGGGCTGTAATTCCAATAAAAGCTTACATGTCCTCAAATCACCGCTGATGGGGTACACTTTAACCTTAAAGTCACTCTTTCATTTCAGTTCCAATATGCAGGACTATAGAACCAAACTGACAGCACCAAATTGTCATTGTCCAATTACTTGTGGACTGCACTGTATCCGTTCAGAGGTTTATACTCTCAGTGGCCTTTTCTGGCAAGTATGGACCATTGCAAAGCCCAAAATCAAACCACACAATGTTCACCAGAAAGTGGAATCAAGATTTCCCATCTTGGAAATCGCTCAGGCATCACGTTTCAGGAATTCTACCTTAGCCCAAAACCCCAAACTGAACTCCTGTGTACACATGACTCCGCCGGGCAGGGCTGTACTGTGTTTGCCTTTGAGCTACTCATTTAACTCCAGTTAACTCCATCTCACTCCTCCTCGACCCCGGCGCACAAGACAACAAGAAGCTGTTTTTAATATTTGCTGGTTACACAGAGGTCAAATCACACAATGTCAAGTCATGTTACTACACTGATTATGCTTATTATGGCATATTTCAATAATGTGTCACACAATTCTCATTCTTAACCATCGACTGACACATTTTCCATCTAGATGTGATAATAAGAATCTAAATATTTGAGCTTGAAAGATTTAATGGGCATTTATATATAATTCTGCAGCAAAAGAGCAACACAGCTGGTTATGATTTACTATAGCCTATTTTT